AGCCCGCGGTGCCCCTAATTTTTACAGCATGCACAGAAATACGTAGCAATTTTTATCATTACTAGCACTGCAGGCAGCTTAAAAGTGCTAGGTTAGCGTCAACCACATCAACACTTCCGAAAGGAAATACTATCTTGCTTTCTAGGCCGACAAATTGTTTTTAGCGCCCGCAGGCCAAACTCTCCCGGAAGCTCCCCAAGGAGACGTATCAAAAAGTAGTCGATCATTTGAAATCGTGGAGAATAAAAATTGCAATATCGCGGTTTTATAGGCTGATTAAAAACGATTCCTGTGAAGCCGAACACTCACGGGACACTGACCTAAAGCAACTCGGTAGGGACGATTATCCAAAGTACTTTCGGGATCCACGGTTGGACGAACATAACTAGAGCGGCTTCAGGACGGTTGGATACGAATACAGGCTCTAGATAAGGTCACTGCAACACTTGTATTACAAGAAAAGTCCGCACGATCGGTAACTTGCCCGCTGCAGCTGTGAAGCGGAACACTCATGAGACACTGACCTAATGCAACTCGGTAGGGACGATTATCCAAAGCACTCTTGGAATCCACGGTTTGACGAACATTTCTAGAGCGGCTTCAGGACGGTCGGATACCAATGCAGGCTCTAGATAAGGTCACTGTCACGCTTGTATTACAAGAAAAGTCCACACGATCGGCAACTTGCCCGCTGCAGCTGTGAAGCCGAACACTCACGGGACACTGACCTAATGCACCTCGGTAGGGACGATTATCCAAAGCACTTGCGGGATCCACGGTTGGACGAAGATTTCTGAGCGGCTTCAGTACGGTCGGATACGAATGCAGGCTCTAGATAAGGTCACTGCCGCACTTGTAGTACAAGAGAAGTCCACACGATAGGTAACTCGCCCGCCCCAGCTGTGAAACCGAACACTCACGAGACAGTGACCTACGCAACTCGGTAGGGACGATTATCCAAAGCACTCTTGGGATCGGCGGTTGGACGAACAGATCTAGAGCGACTTCAGGACGGTCCGATACAAATGCGGGCTCTAAATGAGGTCATTGCCACACTTGTCTATCGAGAAAAGTCCACACGATTGGCATCTCGACCGCTTCAGCTGACCGAGACGCCGAGACGCTTGGCAAATTCCAGAGGGCTCCTCCGTCGCAAACCGGAAGTTAGTGCTGGGGTAAGGAGAGTTTTTAGAGGAGAACGTAAGACAATGCGCCACTTTTCCCAGATACAGGGACTTTACCGCAAAAGCGTCGTGGAGGAGCGTCGTAGGACGGCGCCCAGGCCCCAGAACATGCCCACGGTTCCGCCACACGGGAATCCTTCTGAAACTGCGGAGCGAGCCACAGGTTTTGAAGAAGATACACTCTTTTCAAATAACGAATTCGCTCAGGACAGAGGCATAGTTAAAGTGAAGCATAACTTAGCAAGCACACAGTACATGTCAAAGTTTGAAACAGCAGCCCACTTTGCAGAAACAAAAGAATGTTGCAGTATGCAGGTTTTTTGCGCGACACAGGGGACAATTACAAGCGAGTAGACACGGAAAAGCGCAAACTTTCAACTACTTTATTCGTGCGCAATCGACCACGAACATCCAGAAAGAGCATGCGCAGCACGCTACACAGACGAAAAAAACCGAAAATAGATAGTAAAGTCATCCACCAAGACACATTCCACGATAGTCATTATCGAACCAGCAACCCGGATAAAAACTGCACTTCACTTTCAAACAAAGAAACCGAGGTATCGCTAACACAGTCATTGTTCTTCTTTATATAAAAAGCTTCCATCAATTCTCTGGCTGTGCTTTTTTTGCTTCTACCCAATATCCTAAACTCCTGAAATCGCACATCACACCCACAGTCGGCACAGTGAGTAGGCAAGTGTGCATTGCCTTTATTCCTGATCGACAATTCATGTTCCCGTGCGCGGTCATTAACGCAGTGACCAGTTTGACCAATATATACTTTCCCACACGAGAGCGGAATCTCGTATACCACCGCTGTGGCACAATCCACAAACGGTCGGGCGTGAATTGTTGCAGCCACTCGTCTTTTCTCTTCCCGAGGAAATCCTCGGGCAAAGGCCCGCAAGCTTGCGTGCCGCAGAGAATACGAAAGGTACATTGTACCTATTCGCTACCTTCTTGAGGTTGTGGGACACTTGATGTATATATGGCACCACTTCTGCTCTACACTTCCTTTGTGGTGGCTCTGGCCGCGTCCTCTGCTTTTCCTTGGTCTTCTGGAGCAACGTCTCAGCAACCGCCGTAATGACCGAGCAGGGGAAACCGGCAGACTTCAGCCTGGCTACCTGATCATTAAAGCTTCTGTGCATAGAGTGTGGACACGACTTCCTGAGTGCGGACCCTAAGCAGAGGGAGGCGATGGCTGGCTTAACAGTTTTTAAAAGAGCCGAGTCATACGGCAGCAGCCCCTTCTGTACTCGAGGGTTATAACGCCAGCGTAAATGATTATTTTTTAACATCAATTTTATATCCAGGAACTGGAGTGAGTCATGGGTTGGAAGCTCATGTGTAAAGGACAGGCCCAACCCATGAACATTAAAAGCGGTTAAAATCTCATCCACAGAGTCGTCATAACTAAGCAGGTGTTGTTTTTTTAAAAGGATTAAAAAATCGTCAACGTATCTAAAAACCTTCAAGACACCGCCATCGACAAAGTGGTTGGCTAAGTCCCGATCCAACGTGCGCCAAAAAAATATTACAAAGCACTAGGGCCACACAGGACCCTATGCAGATGCCCTGGCGTTGAATGTAAGGTCTGTCTTCAAAAGAAATAAAGGTGGAACTGAGGTAAAACTCCAACAAAGACAGGAAGTTGTCCACAGACACCCCCGTCGAGTTTTGAAAAGCCACTACTCCGTTATCGTCTACACACAAGTGAAGATGACGAAGTAAGCAAAACATGACTGCTCCCGTACGGCTCCGCTTTGTTGTCGCCTTTTTGCTATTTTTTCGCCTGCGAGCCCTGTTTATCGCTGAAGCTCCGCTGGATAAATGTTCCGGGCACCCGTGGGATCTGGACCGTCGACTCCCCAGCGGGGGGATCTCCACCAGTACCGCCGTCAACCTAGTGCACTGCTCGGTTGCCATTAGGCCTAAAAGCCTGCCACTGCCGTCCGCCCGCCCGCACGTCGCCTGGCTGCTACTCATTGCCGGAGACGTCTCGCTCAACCCTGGTACGCGGAACCCTGGACCACGCCCCATCTGCCCCCGATGCTGTAAGCCTGTTTACGACAATGCGGCCGCATTACAATGCGACCGATGTGACGCTTGGCTGCATAGGAAGTGCGAACGCCTCGCATTGTCCACGTATCGGCGCTTGTCAAACTGTGTTGAGCCCTGGTACAGCGGCATGGGCCAGCTGCCTTCATTTGACGACAGCCTCTTCGAGGCATCGTCGACCACCTCCCGTGACATCCCTACTGCCGAGCCCGCACCTTCGACCAAGTGCTCGTTTCGCAAGCCGGCCGTGTCAGCACCTCTCGCGGTATGGTTCTCAAATGTTCGCTCTGTGAAGAACAAGCTGTGAAACCTACATACACTCCTGGCAACTTCGCCAGCCACCGTTGTGGCGCTATGTGAAACGTGGCTGGATGACTCCATCGACGACAGTCAACTTGCCGACCCCAATTGCTTCGCCGTCTACCGGAAAGATCGCTCACATCATGGCGGAGGCGTGATGATCCTAGTGCCACGCCAACTTGTGAGCCGCAGACGCACCGACCTGGAACGCCCTGACCTGGAGGCTGTGTTTGTAGAGATTGTGCACAAGCAGGGAAAAATGCTGCTAGGCTCTGTGTACTGCCCACCTACCAAGCAAGCAGAAAGCTATGGGCTACTTAATCAGTCTCTTCAGTCTCTCGACCCCAAGGCGTAATCGAACATTTGCATTTCTGGTGCCTTCAATGCTCAAAATGACTACTCCGACCTCACCTCCCCCATCCCCTCGAACCAAACCGATGAACTCCTGCTTGATATCATGGAGACTTCTGGGTATACCCAGGTCTGCAGTGAGAATTCATATACCTCTGCGGCAAAGAAGGAGTCCTTCCTCGACTTGGCTTTTGTCAGCAACATGGCACTCACTTCAGAATGTTGTTTGGAGCCCAGCCTTGCTGGTTCAGACCATAGTGCCATTCTCCTCAAGACTGTGTTCTCTGTGCCTAAGTTCGGTCGTTATGCCAAGGAAGTCCGAAATTTCTCTGCGACTGACACGACACATCTGAACAAACTTGTTCACCTTGCCCCCTGGTCCATGGTCCTTGACGAGCCCTAGCCTGACATTGGGTATGAAACTTGGTTGGACTTTATGGACGCCATTCAGCGTGACTGTGTTCCTGTGAGATCTGTCTCTGGCTGCAGTAGGTCTTCCTGGATCACTAAGGAAATTATCAGATTCTCCCATCGCAAGAAGCGACTGTTTCGGAAGGCCAAGGTGAAGCGCCGCCCTGAGATCCTTGCCCTCGCTAGACAAGCTCAAAAAGAATTGAAAAAACTCGTCCACCTCTCACACCGACAGTATGTTCAGAGAATTGCCGAAAAGGCTGCCCGCTCCCCCAAACTGTTCTGGGCCTACATTAACAGCCAAAGAAAATCGTCCGCCATGCCCGAATTCTCTTGTGACGGCAAAATTTTACAAAGCCCATATGACATTCCCTACTGGAAAAAAGTATATGAATATTTTTTCTTATATGTTTATTGGACAAAAATTTTGTACGAGTTCTTATATGAAAATCTGATATGAAATATTTATCATATGAAAAAAAATCTTACATGATGTGTCCAATAAACATATCAGAAAATATTCATATAAGTTTAAATCATATAAGATTTTTTTCGTATTTGAAAATTTACCTGATCTTTGTTCTCACAGCAACACACTTCATAACTATTGTGCTTAATGATGCAAGAAATAACTATGCAGGTGAAGAGGCATAAAATGTTTATTAGGTATAGTAAATACCTTCCAGTTTTCTACAGGGCCTTCTTAGCTCTGCTGTTATTGTCCTGTAGCATACTGGCAATAAATCTATTGACATTGGAAAGACGTGCTTCTATTTCTGTCTCTCTCACATCCTTGTTTTTTGCCTTCAGGTAGAGGACATAGGCATCTGGAAAGAAATTGCAACACATGCTATCAAACGCCAATAAAAGCAATAGTAAAAAAAAAATAGTAGACATTGCACAGCAATTAAAGGGGTAGGGAAACGAAATTCCAGCGTTCATTTTCTAGCTTGAATGTGTTGCATGTTGCACCTTAACCCCAAAAACACCAGTCTTCCGTCGAAAGACACAAGAAACCTAATTTGAAGCTAAGTAAACAATCTTTCAATGTGCACCTGGCGGATGCATGCGAAGCCTATTTGGGAGGTAATCTAGCAACGTTGGGGAACTTGCTACGTAGTCATGACGTAGCAGATTCCTTCAGAGCAGTGCCGCCCTTTGGAATTTCAACATTTTCCTCCTTAGCTTTCTTCCTAGCTCGACTCACGAATCGTGCATTGTACCAAACGGTCCAAGAAGACGGAAAGGAAGGACTCCTCTTTCTCGGACCCTCGTTCGTGCAACCAGAAATAGCCATTCTCCCCCAAGAAGATTAGCCCGTCGCTCAAAACTCGGAACAAAAGTTGCGTTTCCCACCCCGTCAGCCCTAAGCTGACAGTGTTGTGCAAGCTACGTGCTCCTTGGGCCAGCCACACGCTCATCATCGCACAGGTACTTCGAACGGCTCGGTTGTAACGCGCCGACGCTATCGACACCACGACAATGCTGACAATGCCACTAAGGGCGAAGCTCATAACCATGCCAGCCTTGCTACGTCACGCATGCGGGGGGAATCTTTTCTTCCTGTTTTAGTTTGCGCCGGATATCCCATGACGCATCGCACTCTCCGTTCACTTCTCTTCGAGCGCTTGCTCGAGTGCACCGTTTGGAACGAAAAATATAGCCAATCGTTCAAAATACAAATGGGCGATTATCATCCGTCATGCTTGACTCGTTTCCGAACGAAATTTGAATATTTCAATTTTTGTTTCCGTACCTTTTTAAGGCTATAAGTAGCATCCCATCACTCCTTGAGAACTACGCAACCCAAATTTCTAACACCACATTCTAGTACACCTGCGACTCTATTGACGTCTCTTTTCTCCCCAATCTCTGCAGCAGAAACTGACACCCAACAAGGGACAGCTAGTTGAGGCAGCTGCAATCACACATTTTCTTTCTCTGGAGCAGTCCGCTATCAGCAGACCAACCAGTACATACCTAACCAATGCTGAACAATCGACTGTCCACTCTACAACACATGACAGTACTCTTCACATGTGCGTCTTTGTATGGGCAAGAAAAAAGGAACTTTTGTTGTCTCATCATGAGATATGGAAGTCTAACTACTTTACAAGGCTGCAGCAGGTTTTGCCAATATCCTTCAACTTCGAATGCAGTCTCAGCTTAACAGTAGAGTAGTTCCATGATATGCAACTGATGCCATCATGCCATAATTATGAAAAAAACAGAAATAGTCTCTCAGCTTTCTGGATGGGCTTGCAAAATTAATATAACCGTGAGGTGCAAGCACCACATGAGCTCCAACTTTCAATATGTTTACAAGCAAACTTCTGAATATCAGGGCATATTAACTCTAATTTTGAAAGTATAAACAATATGATAAGACAAAAAGCTGCAAGTACAGCAGCTCTGTGTTTTGCTTTCTAATTTTTGTATTTACAAGTCCTACCCAGCATGGGTTCATTCAATTACTCATTGGAATTCTAGTGCAAAAATATTCCAGTTACATTCAGCTTCAGAAAATACTGTTATAAATTAGGTTAAACTCTTGACATCAGTAATTGCACTCACTTTTCACAGCACACATCTTCTTTGGTGTGATGGCTCGGGTGGTTTCCCTGTCCTCGGTGAGGAACCTTCGACTTCTCGAGCCGGTCACACTCCGATTCACTAGTTCTCCCTTCCGATACATCATCCGAAGGGCATCCCTACAAAACCTTGAATCAGTCATTTTTTCGGCCTCAATTGATTTTTTAAGCTTGTCTTGAGGGACCAAGACTCCTCCACCCAGGTGAACCTGTACAATAAAAATAATTTAGTAACAAATGTTATTATATATACTGTAATACCCAGACTCAGCACTCAGCCCCAGGATTTCCCAAAATAACAAGTGGACAATGACAAAATATCTAAATGCGAAAAAAAAGTGAGAAAATACTTTTTTTTGCACATCATATTTCGATGGGAGCTACACAGAATTCAAAGCTCTGGTTCGCAGGAATGTGCCGCAGTGCTAAAAAGAGTAGTGCCACCCATTTGTTATACTCTCCATTTTTGTTTTGCTTCGTCTTTGACAGATGTTTACTAACCTTAATGGTCGTGATATTCTGGAAGAATGGGTGCTGGGCTGATCTCGCGATTTGAAGTTGGGGCCTTCCGGGAAGAGATGGACTTCATTTCATTCGTAAACAAAATAAATGTTTTTTCTTCTATTATGCCTTTTTTTTCCCCACAAGTGATCTCTGGTAGAGTTTGTGGTCCTTGACCTTGCAATTTTCAATCAGAGTTAACGGACTGGCTCGTAGTTTTGAACAAAGAAAGCTTCACTCTGCTACCTATCATGTTTCTCATTGTGATTACTGCCTTTTGACTTTCATTTCCACAGTTGCGAAATTCAGACAGGAATGATGAGTGTTTGCTTATCTCGCGATCCACCCAATCAGAGCTTTTGTTGGGGTAGGTGATGACTTGGTGTTTTTCAGGAAATCAATATTTTATCATAAAAGTGGGGTGGGTGATGACTCGGGGATGGGTGCAGAGTCTGGATATTCTGGTAAAAAATGTATTAAATATTACATACAAAATATCTCCTATGCGGTCTTCGGGGAAAAAAAAATCTTGGTTCCCATGCACAGACACCACAAGCGCGTCGAGAGGCACGCCAATGAAGTGCAAGCATTTTCCAATGAACAAACATACATTTGTAAGATTTGTTAGATTTAAATGCAGGTTTTGCAGCACCATTTGCCACATAGATCAACTGTGTGCAAGCTGCACTGGGCACTAACAGTAAAATTGCCACAAAAATGGTGACGTGTACTCTTTCTTTTTATATGCTTAAGAAGCGAGCAAAGGATGCCACTGTGTCCCGGCTATGAACACCTCGGTATTCTTGTGATTGACATCACCTGCTTCTTGCATGTTTTAAGCTCGAACGCACATACAAATAGCCTAATGGCACAAGTTGTGAATGAGAAGCTGGTAGCAGTAGTTATTTAAAGCTTTGAGAACAGAGAATTTTGCGCACTGAAAAGGGCCTCATTCATTGGCAAAACTAATACATCAGACGTGTTGAAAATTTACAGCGACTTGTAATAGTTTTCAGAGTAGATGCATTTATAATAAAGCTATTGCTTATTTTATGGCAGCAGCATTAAAAGCGATCTACAGTTGAAAAGTGCTGGGACACTGAGAACCTACCATATCAAGGACGGCATCGTTCACTGCAGCTCCAGGCTCGTCCAGGTTGGCTTGGGCAGGAGGTTGGGCATGAATCATGACAGGGGGTTGGGCATGAATCATGACAGGGACTGGGGCAGGGACTGGGACAGGGACTGGGACAGGGACTGGGACAGGGACTGGGACAGGGACTGGGACAGGGTCCGGAGCGGGCAAAGGGGCGTAGACCGGGGCATAGGCGGGGGCAGAGGCCGGGGCAGTGGCTGGGGCTGAGGCAGAGGCCGGGGCAAAGGCCGGGGCAGAGGCCGGGGCAGAGGCCGGGGCAGAGGCCGGGGCAGAGGCCGGGGCAGAGGTCGAGGCAGAGGCCGAGGCAGGGGCCGGGGAGAAGGCAGGTACCACAGCAGGAGCCTGGGTAGGGGCTGGGGAAGGGGCAGGGCTGGTTCGTCTGATGTTGGCGGGCTGCTCTGCTCTGAGCTGCCGTGGTCTTCGGGAGTGAGACTGCTCTGGAAATGCCTTGATGTCATTGCTCTCTACAGGGGATGCTGGGAGCACCACACCTGAAATACCAAAACACAAAACAAGCACCTTCATAAGAAATTTGTGAACTTGCAAAAAATGTCCTCTTTAAATAATAAGTCACATAGTGCTGTGCCGGAGACCACAGATCTGAACACCCGAACGAGTGAAAGCAATGCACTACGCAGCCGCCCCCGGCCGCCACTGCACATGCTGCAAGATGGGCATGAACACCCTTAGAGAAACACTGGCATCCCAAAAATTTAATATTTTTTAATGGCTCATACAACCGAAAATATGCCTCAACAAAACCCTCAAAATCTGAGGCTGACACGAGAAACTATTACTTTCCTTACTCAAATAGAAATATAAAAAGTTAACTTAAAAAAAAACAAAAAAAACGAGTCACAATTGCTGTGTTGCACTATAGGGACAGCTCATGCCGAACCTCGGAGAAGGTGCTCGGTAGAGGAGCTGTCTCTATTACACCATCCTAATGATGCAACATGTTTTTAATAGATATTAACCTCCAAATAAAGTAGAAACTGGCCACGGGAAAGAGTTGAGCACGTTGGTAAAACATAATTAGGAAAAACCAGCTGAACAAACAAACATAAAAATGTTTGGTTTCTCCTATATAGAATGACTGGCCAAAATTAAAAAAAAAAAAAAAATCGAGCATTTTTTTTTTAATTGTCCAGGGAAGGTTTTTGTTTGGTGCTTTTCTCGTGTTTGCTTGTCAATATCTCAACAATCTTTTCATAAATAAATTTTATTTTTGTGTTAAGTTACTTCCACTTATGACTAGAATATTGTGTCAAAATATGTCTGTGACTTAATTTTGTTCTAAGATATAGGCCTGCGAAGTTAAGAGAAAAACAATCGAAAAGTCAAAATTGATGTTTTGATTATAATTTTTTTTTCCAAGAACAAAATTGTTTTTATTGTTGCGTCCAAAAATTATGAAACTCACTCAGGCAGTATAACTTCCGTTATTTATCCCCAAAAGTGACCACCCCAGGTGCGCACATAAATGTGACTTGCCACCATTTCGTGACTATGATTTTTTACGCCCAATAATCTTTTTTAGATGAAAATAATTTTGATTTGTTTACTTTTGGCATTGGGAAATACCATATAAAATTATGAAGCAAATTAAAAAGGTCGACCAGCCACCCTCTGCTTGATCTTATCTGAAATCGCCCTACAACCTATCGCTTTTACTTCTTCGCACATTGTGGCCGAAAAAGGTACCCTTCTTAATAGCTAAATAGGCTCCTCATAAATGACTATATCCTCTCTGACAGCAGGTAGGGGAGGTAACTGTTTCTAGGCTTCACAGCCAGGATGAAAACAGCTGCTATTTCCAGCTGAGGGAAGATGTTCCACACTTTACATTTCTTTGCACTTAAAGGGATACCGAACCAACAAATTTAGTATCTATAATAAGTGGCGCACATTCTTTCCACGAGCCAGCAGCCGCCGGTGTGCGCGAGCAAACGCAACAAAAATGATGTAAAAAAGCTCCATTCGTGCTTAAGAGGACAGTGAAATGCATGGGTTTCGGGCCAAAAGAGAACAAAGACAGGCTTTTCATCTCTATAAGTGAAAGCTACGTGCTTGTTAGACCAATTAATCGCTTACCTTTTACACCAGACACCACTGTGTAGATGAAAAACTTGTCTTTATTCTCCTTCGGCCCCAAGCCCATACATTTCACTGTCATCTTAACCGCAAATGGAGGTCTCTGACGTAATTTTTCTTGCGTGTGCTCACGCACACCGGCGGCTACTGGCTCGTGGAAAGAATGTGCGCCACTTATTATGGACACTAAATTCCTTGGATCAGTATCCCTTTAAATACATGGACCTGAGGCCAATCACACCAGGTCAGGCATCTGTACTGCAATGCACCCTACTATGACTTATTGCAGAAACAAATGAAGTCATGAAAACAACTATTTTCGCATGTGTCACAACATCTGTGAGAGGGTGTATTGTTTTCAATCAGAGAGTCATGCTGCACATGTGATGCCCCTGGAAAATGCACTTTGTTTGAATCCTGCGACACAGTGTAGATGAGAATCTCTGAACTGGTCAGCTGAGACCTGCTAGACCTGTTTCATGTGCGTCTGTGATGAAAAAGAGGGCTACATTAGACCACCAATATTGGGAGTTTGTCCGAGCCTTGAAAACCTTTCAAATATGATCTTGAAAAATAATTTCACATTAGAAAACTTGCACTTACCAAGTCTATGTAAAAGTGCATACTGCACTTGTCGGCACAGAGTCCTCTCTTCTTCCAACTCCTTCGTCAGGGCCCTAATTTTCTTTTTAGCGTCTCTGAGGTCTGCAGCCGGAACGAGGTCCTCTGTGTAAACAAAAAGTTACAAGTTTGAAAGCATGAAAACTTTAAGGCTTGAGAAACATTGTGGACCTCACTGCATTTAACTGCCAAATGTATTCATAAGCACCCCACCTTTTTCAGAAATGCTTAGTACATATGCACACAAGCCTTCGACTTACCCATATTTGAAAGCATTTGATAAAAAAAAAAACCTGCCACTTAGTTTTGTGTTCTGCGAGTTGAATTGAGCTAATTTTTTTTTCTAATTTGAGGTTCAAAGATCCAAGAAAGTAGTTTCAAAATTTACAAATTATGAAACATGTAAAGTTCAAGAGCTTGACAAACTTGGAATCATAGAAAATGATTTGAACAATAATCAAATTACTCCAAAACATGTTGGCTACTGTCTTCTATCATAAGTTTATTTGTTTTACTTTAATATGTCCAGGATAAGCAATTGAAGCTATAGTATGATGCCTAAATTTCGCAGTGCACACTTTTTCGAAACTGTTGTTAGCACATCATAAAATCTGAGCGTAACATTTCGGGCTTCAATTCCACTGTTTGCATAATCGCTACTGCCCGTCATGGGAAAGATACACAAGCAGATGAACACTTATTGTAGGATAAAAATAATAGTTGGATATGTCCAGTATGCAGTATTATTTATTTCGCTCAGCAGAGCGAAATGTTTCCCTCCAATAGCCATGCGAACGTGATTGGCCGTTGACATTTGTTGTTCACAGCTTACATCTCAAATGAAAACAGCTACTGGTCTGTACGGCCAGCACATAACCTTACTTGCCCTTCGCATGAGGTCATCCTTAATTGCAATCTTTCGCACATCATTGATCTTCAAGTTCAGTTCACTGGTATTGTGTGCAAATGCGTTTAACCCGTTACGGCAAAAAGCCCAATGACTATCGCTAGTATATAAACACAACATCAAAAACACAAGAACTGACCATAGAAGAAAGAGAGAGAATGACAAGGAGAAATGCAATCTGGCACTTCCATGTGCACACCGAGATGCCGTCAACCACAAGGCTATAGGACCGCACAGAATGGTGACATCATGTAAATATTCCTCATATGTCTGTTGCATTTCTTTAGAAAATCACAGCATAGAGCTGAGCAAACTACACTCTACAAGATGAAAAGATGGCACAACTTAGTTCCCTGTTGTGGGTAAAAACACCAGACTCAGAATCGAAAAGAACACTTCATATTCGTATAAGGCTTGCTAAAACATTAGGTGCCAGGGAAAAAAACCCTCGGCTTAACATATTTCTTTAAAGGGCAACTCCACTTCATTTGATAATCAGAAAACGATGCAGTCCTCTTCCGTATCATCTAGGAACACGACACATCAAATATCACAATCTAATTCCATTTATATATCTTTACGTGGGGCGGAAAACTTTGCAAAGAGCCAAGTCACTGAAATCGACTAACTCTAGCAGGAAACGTGAAGCGCATTCAACAGCGCAGTTATTAATACTATAGTGTTTGCACAGCCAACATTGAGCCACTTTGTCAAAGACATGCCCTTTTTGTGCTTTTTCCTTCTCTAGGTGAAGTCAACAGATGCCGTGATGAGCTGCAAAATAGAAGAGTGGGCATGCATAGCCTTGATCGGCGCTAAAGACGGGAGAGCGCAGTTTTAAATGATCTAGTGGAGAATCATGTGATCATTCATACCATGGCTTGGATTGGATTGGATTTGGGGCTAACCCCTTTGTATCGGGGGATCTCAGCAGCGCTGGATCTAGCCTGGCTATACTTCGTTTCAGGTTCCGTCCGAGCGCAGCCAAAGGCTAAGGGACGGTTTGCATCTTCGAGAAGAGCATTCCTACGCACCACAAAGTAGTCTGCAAAACTAATTTGTTTTAAATCACTGTTTTGTGCGTACAAAATTGCACAATATTCCAGATGTGTAGTGCTGAGAATGATTTGCAACTAAAATAATTAAATATCTGAAGTTTATGTTTTTATTAATTTATGTAAATGATTGTGGTTTGGTGAAAACACGTACATTCGCTGGCAACACGGCTGCAGCGCTCGTTTTTTCTGTGTGATTTCATTCCCATAATGGTCGAATCATATGCTTTGCTGCTTTCCTCACCGAGTCGCTTCAAAACATTTTTTTCGAAAAGGCAAGTTTGGGAGTCAGGCGCGAGAGGTCGTAATGAATATCTGCGTTCAAATTCGGCAGGAGACTCCGGCCGCGTCGTACCGCGAATGCGTTGTAAGCAAGAAAAGCGTCCTGGCCACTACAATTCACTGATACGCGGCGAAATCAGGGCACCCCTTTACCTGCCGATCACATTGAACGCCGAGAAGCTGATGGAAAGGACTGCGCCTCGAGCTCTGGTATATATGCAGACAATAAAAGGAAACATCAACGGCCGGGTCATCGGTCACCTTGCAATGTGTACTTACATCTCGAAACTATGCCGAAACGCCGAACAGGTGGAAAGCTCGAACACAGGCGCCAGCGGCCAGCTTACGTACTGACATCCCCTGTGACTAAATTCCAGAATGTGAAAGGGCACTTTATAAACCTGTAGCAGACGATACAGTTGATACACCCGTAGCAGACGAAATACCCGGCGAGCGCGGGCGGCGCGGACGACCCGCGGCCCAGCGGAGGGATACAAAAGTGCAGGCGAGATCGCGTGACCTATTGCCGGCGTGTGATTGGCTCCGGCCACACGTAGCTTTGGCTGCGCTCGGACGGAAGCTGAAACGAAGTATAGTAGCTACACTTTGACAACACAAGACTAATGTTGCCTGTTGCAGCCAAAGTTCCGGTTTTGGTATCCGCTAAGTTTAAAGAAAGATTGGTAACACAAATATGTCATGTTTCGATAAACAAAGTATGTGGGGCTGTTTATTAGTGCTTTTTAAAGTCGAATCATACATAATCCCGAACTTTTTTTAATTGAGCGGAGTTGTCCTTTAAGAGAAGCTGCAAAGCTTTAGGAAAGAAATAAGTGAAGGACAAATTCCCGTTTAGGTTTTCCTGGAGAGTCCAAATATCACAACCGTTTATCCCATAATCCTCACTAAACACGGCAAAAGGCAAAAACACCGAACCGATGCTGACATGAAACGTGTTGATGACGTCATAATTCGGCTGCTGTTCGTGAAGAGATCTGGCTGATTTGGCTTGCATTCTCTTGGGTATAAAGGATGAAGACACAATGAACCCTCAATTAGAATGTGTTGCGAGGACCCTCGACATGATCCCATACTCGTTCAAGTCCTTAACAATGCAGTTCGGTGAGGCAAAGCGCCCTGGCGCCCCTTTCGTGACGTCACTCCGCACTCTCTTCCCCCATTTTCCCGTTCACCGGCCTGTGAAGGGTAGTGGTTTAGAGTCTGTTTTTAACGCGTCTTTTTGGCTAATCTGTACTTTAAATAATGAAATTTGTGATCCTCAAAGAGTAACAATATTCGTCACCTTCGAAGAATAATTAAGGAGAATAAATGGTTTTTGATTAAATTAAAAGCCATCGCAGCTTCTTTCACATTAAAACCCTTAACACATAATTTGAATATACCCGTGTTTGCATGAAAAAAATGTTACGTTCGACCATCACATTTGCCCATTTGCCTTATACAAAGGCCAAGGCAACGAAAGCATACATAGCTTATAGCGGGCAGTGGGCAGGTAAAAAAAGTCACATGATCATGTATGGTCACTTGATCATTTCCCGTGGACATGTAATGTGATCACATTACCTTACGCAGATACTTGATCACATATGATCCTACGTCACCTTACGTTACACAATGTTAAGTTACATGGTTGCCATATACGTTGCAATACGTATGTTACACAGCTACTTGTTTCGCATAGCAATTGAATGGGAATTTACCGGCATTGCCAATTTGTACCGCTATTTACCCGCCCTGCTGGTGTCCTTTCTGCTGTCGATCTGCCCACGCAGCTCTAGGGCATGCGGCTTTATAAAGCTCATGACATGCACACCGTGGGGGTGGGCATGCCATGGGCTTTTCACACACACAGTGCTGCGCTGCCTCAGTGCTCGTAAGATTGTGAGTCACCGGCCCTTCCCTGTCTCATATCCTGCATCTTAAGTTGCTCCTTGAGTGGGTCGGAGTGCCTAAACAGAGTGCAAATTTCCTGGCTTCTAATATCAATCCACAGCTGTGTAGCACTGCGCATCACAAGAAAACTGGCCTTAATCGCCTGAGCCGAAAACGTTAACTGTACCTTGATCCTACGGGTAAAGCCTGATGACATATTATGTACAGTGTGTCACTCAAGTGATTAAAAGCTCATAAAATTGACTGCAAGCCTAGCAAATCTCCATAGACACACTGCACATTCTGTTTCATCTAACATTATATGTGGGATCAAGGTGTTTGGATTAAATTAGACAGTTGGACAACATTTAATATGAAGGATGCTTATGCCCTATCAAAGTAGACTGCATTTAGGTCCATGGGGTGTTGATCAAGCCCAGATTCCGGTGATGGACTCTAAAGCTGCCTGTCTTAAAAGAAAGAAGCGGCCTTCAATTTGTCAATTTTGAATCTAGAGTTTGTTGTCATTTATATGATGGTGCATTTTCAAGACTCATCATTATTGATAATAATAACATGTAGAAATAGAGGTTTGTTTGTTCACGTACCACCCATACAAAAGCCAACCGAATTGCAACTGAAGCACACCTGTGACCTCAGCTCATCGCGGTTCCCTTTCGCAGCCTGGATTGATTGTTGCCGCTATGGGAACTAAGTAACATGCTCAGGCATTCATCTACCCACCTAACGCTTGGTTGCCTTGGCGACCAAACAGAACTACGGAAGAATACCACAACGCGCCGAGACCACTGGCGTTCTTCCGCCCCCTTTTGGTAGGCTATTCCATGAGTGTGAACAAAACAGTTCAATAAAAATGGCTCACACCTGACACCAAAGGCTCATTTTCTCGAGTGCCTAGTGTTTTAAAAGCATAAAACAGCAAGCAAGATTTTTTTGTTTATGTTTTTAAGTTTTATTTTTTTTATCCACAACATGGTGCTAAAGTATCAAGTGCAGAAAAGATTTGAAAGGTTGCACAACCATATTTTTGCCTTTGCAATTTGAGGTGAACAAGTTGACAAGTGCATGGGCTACACAGCATCTCTGCTGCAGGTGGAAAATTTCAGACACTCCGTGCGGCATCAATCAATTCAGAGTAATTAATTAGGAAGACTCTTATGGGTCCATACATTCATTCCATTTGTTTTGCAGATATGCAATGCAGAGAAACTTCTTTTACAGACAGAAAGAAAATCAGTGGAGACAGAGCACAAGCTCCAGCAAACCCAAAAAGTGAAATTGTGGTTAGAGACAGAAAATTGAAGCATCAAATGAGGCAGAATAAATACTGGAATATCAAAAAAAAAAAAATTTTTTTTTTTTTTTTTCAAGATTACAAGTAGCATAGGAGCCTGTGTTCTACAACTCCTGGTAGGAGAGAATCTCCGATTGTGGTTTTCGGGTGTCCTACTAGTACAGTAAATTTGGCCATGGTCATTGACCTATTTCTCTGACACTTACAGGTATGAATTTATATTTACATACCTTGTGTCTCAGAGCTGCGGTCTTTCTGTTTCGATGATGTTTTTCTCAAATTTTTTTGAAGACCACTCGGTCCCGCCACATCCTGCGCAGATTTGGAGGACATAGATATAACAAAAAATTACAACAATAAAATTATTTCATAAATTAAGCTATTATAAAAGCAAGCAAGAGCTACAAAAAAACTCTGGCGTCGTCGTCAATGACCTGATTCAAAAGGATAGGACAAGGACCATTTGTTTTTGTCCCATCACTTTTAATTAGGCAGTTGTTCATGCAAAAGGATGGGACAGAAATCAAGCACTTATCCATCTTGAAACATATCGTAGATACTCGCTTGTTTTCAGCCACACCCAATCCCAGACATTTGTGCTGTTGCACGAGGATCTAAGGAACCACGTCAGCAAAACCAAAATTGCAGGGAAAGTTGCCCGTCTGAAGTGAGGCCAAGGCAAACTATAGCAGGCATCCAGCTTTAGTAACATAAATAAAATATATGCACACACCCAACTCAAGATGCTTGGAGACCTCATTGGCTTCCTTTTTTGGAACCGATCAAGGCTGAAACCATGCACATACATACCACATTCAGTGTTTCCCGACTTTCCACGGCATCATGCAGAATGACAGCTGGAAGTGGCACCCTTTCTTTCACCATTTGCTTCATGAGCTGAGTCTTTGTTTCTAGAAATACAAAAGAAATACACACTGGACTAAACATGCAACAGGACAGAAGATTAGACTACTGTATTAAATTCAAACTGAGAGGGAATAAGGAAAGACAGGACAAAAATATGTTTGAAACACCTTATGAAAAAAGATTTGATCCTTCGTTTGTTCATTTTTACAGCACTCACTTTTCTGTCGGTTAACATGTTTAGCGAAAAACAACTTTTCCACATTAACTATAATAAATTGGTGCAATGCCTAAAATTTTGTGCAGACATAGTGTAGTACTTTTCTAAAATAAACAATGATGCTACAGCCATGTCTTGAGCATGAAGCACTCTGCGAGTCCCTTGATAGCTATCGTCTGGAAGTTCACTTGTCAGGCTATGGGAGAAACAATAAGCGAGTTGAGGGGGTTCAGAGAGTGGGTTATCGGTCTGTCTTGACTGGGTGCCATGCTTCCGCTGTAGATGAAAAACTTGCAGTACAACTGCTAGCCTGGGGTCATACTGCACTGGTGGCATGTTTCTTTTTCTTTTTTTTTACACTGAAGCCTGAAACTAACAGCCTTGTGTTTACAATTTATATGCCTCTGAGTGTAGTAAAGGAAACATTTCTACAGTGCTCTATCTGTGCATGCATCAGAGTGCACTGAGAGTCGTCATGGGTGCACCTGTTAACTCATCGCCATGTGGCATGCTCTCCCGATGAGGTCAATCAAGCACGGCCAAACACGGAACATCACAGCATCTGTCGTCCTTCTGGGCATGTTATAATCGGCTTAGCAAATCGAGCACAGCGAACGTGTTCGACCTTAGTGCGTTTTCTGTGCACTTGAGTTTGAATGACTGTAGCCTCGTGTGCGCTCAGACGTAAGGGTAAAACGAAGTATACTATTCTGTGGTTACTCTATACTCCGTCTCACTTTTGTGCACCGCAGGCGAAGGCAACGCCAGGAGAGGGGAGCGCTAAGAAGGCAGGATGGAAGAGGAATGTAACGGAGGGCGAGAGGAGAATGGGAGAGCGCTCAGAACGTTAGAGAAAAGAAGAGGTTCCGTCTCCTCTTCAGGAATTGTACTAAGATATTGAGGTGGGCTAGTTGGATATGCATGATGTAAAAATTAAATAGCGCAAAGGTTAGACAAAGGACAAAGGACAGAACATGTAGACAGGACAAGCGCTAACTCACAACTGGCGTTTTAATAGAAAATAAGAGAAGGAAGCAGCATAGAAATACGCCGAAAAATTATAAATCTTCTTTCTTCCTTTTTCGGCGTATTTCTATGCTGCTTCCTTCTTTCCCATTAAAACACCAGTTGTGAGTTAACGCTTGTCCTGTCTACATGTTCTGTCCTTTGTCCTTTGTCTAACCTTTGCGCTATTTATTTTTTACATCATACTCCTCTTCAGGCTTCCTAGCGCTTTCTCTTTCTCCCCTCGCCCGGCGTTACCCTCGCCTGTGATGCACGCAACTAGTGAAACGGGGTATAAGCATATACAGTCGGCAGTAAAAGTTTGCGGAACATGGAAGAGACAGCTGAAATACATCGCTGCGCCATCTGACGACGCAGGCCAGCTATTCAGACCCATTGCATGCACAAGCACATTCTTTAGTTCTCAAAGTTATATATGTTCACTCGCTTCCATTCGACAAGCTCCCGATATACCGAAAAAGGCGCGAGGAGCTGCTTTGTCAGCAGCTATGCTGAGCATCTGCCTCAGCCACCGCAATGGGAGACAATGCCTGCATGCCACCTTTTGCCGAGTCAATCACTGTCCCGATAAAGTTTTGCTCCAAGCTCAACTGTAGCTGAACAATTTTTTTTTCTTTTATATTACCATGGCCTGCTCGACTGTAGCTGAACAATTTTTTTTTCTTTTATATTACCATGGCCTGGTATTTGTGAAGAGTGCAAACCAATTTTCAATATTTGACAGCAATGACTAGCTTATCTTTTCATTGTAACCTAAGCTGTCGAGTGGTCAGCAATATGCAATAAAACATAAATTATCTAACTTGCCATGTTAGGTAAGACTTTGCCTTCACAGAAAATTTTACCTATACTCCATCTCACAAGCTGTGTGCAACAAAGCCATGGGTGCAAGAAGGGCATGTCTGAAAGCAATGCGCTCGTGCCTTTGCCTCTGCTGCACACAACTTGTGAGATGTAGTATAGAGTTCACATCAAGAAAAGAAGGTTGATTATTTTGTTCTTTTTATGACTGCTGCAGGTGGGTTCTGCTGCTGTTTGGGAGATCAAAAACAGTAGCACCCCCCCTTTTGCCCGTCTCCAGTATCAAGAGTGCATCGGACGGAAGTGAGCAAACATGCATGACTGCCGAGCACAGAGGGATGAGCACGTGCAGACCATGGGTCTTGATAGCAGTTGGTGCATTGTCAGATGGCACAGCGATGCATTTCGGCTGCCACTCCGATGTCCCGCAAACTTTTCCTGCTGACTAACTACATGGTACTGCAAGAGATGAAAGCTTTCATGTCTTTGGAGTCAGAAGTCTGATCAAGAAAAAAAAAAGTTTTGGTTTACTTTTTTTTTTAGCGGAGCTAAAGTTGAGGCTTGGGTTAGTTGGTACGACATACTTCGGGAAATTAAAACAGTGCATAAGACAAGGGACCAGACGAAGAAGTGACATGGATGCACCGCTGACTTACAGCTGAGTTTATCGATCGCAAAATCACAATACACCGTAAAATACCGAGCAAGCGCCCACTCAAAATTTGAAGAAAATCACGAAAAGATAGGGGATGGGCACCTATGAGGTGATCAATTTTACATATATATATATATATATATATATATGTACTGTACATATCTTTTCAGGTGTTTCAAATTTTGGGGGTGGACGCTTAGTGTGGAATGGGAAGACGCACAGTATTCTATGGTTTACATGCGTTGTCACGAACAAAAGGAAGAAAAAAGTAAAGGAAGTAATCAGCCCACAAGAGGTATCACTAATAAAAAAGAAAAGAGAAGGCACCACTACAGAGCCAACAGAGCATGTGGTAAAAACGAGACAAGGAACTAGAAAATTAATTTCTTTGCCAGACAGGGCCACCGAAGAATTGCCTGACAGATGTAACGCTCAACTTCGCTATCTCAACAGCCTCACACCGTTGGAAGTCGGGTAGGCAGCCACAGTTGCGGCAATGAATGCCAAGATGACCAGACACGGTAGTGGAGACACTGTAGGCGTGATTTCTTAACCTGTCATTCAGACAGCGACCCGTCTGACCAACACAACGCTTGCCACACGCCAGAGGGAAAGAATAAACCACTCCCTCTTAACACGCGACAAAGCTATCTCAATGTCTCGTTTTGCCAGCCGTAGCCTCCATAGAAAAGGGGTTAACAGCTCTGCACAACCTTGACAATTTATCAGGAGCAGAGAACAACACGTCCATGTCACACCTGCCCGTAATCGTTTTAGGTTGTGGGCCAAGCCGTGCATATAAGGAAGGACAACAAAATTTCTTCTTTCTCTTCCCTTTTCGTTATTGGCCCCTTTGCGCTCGTCACAGGCCTGCTCTTAATATCTTTGAACAGGAACCCGGCGACCGCTGTTAACACGTGGGAGGGAAGTCTGGCATCTGGGAGGCATTCAGTTTGCCTATAAGAGCCAAGTTGAATGTTGTGATAACAAGACTTCCGCAGAGCATGTGTATAGCAGGTCCTCGCGCCCGCTAGGACTTGCTATACACCTCACACATGCCGGATTTCCCTCCCACGTGATAACAGCAGTCACTGAGATCCTGCTCAAAGATATTAAGAGCAGGTCTGTGACGAGCGCAAAAGAGGCCAATAATGAAAAGAGAAGAGAAAGAAGAAATTTTGTTGTCATTCCCTATATGCACGGCTTGGCCCACAACCTAAAATGGAACGCAGGCAGATGTGACGTGGACGTGTTGTTCTCTCCTCCTGGCAAGTTGTCAAGGTTGTGCAGAGCAGTTAACCCCTTTTCTAGGAAGGCCACGGCTGGCAAAACGAGACATTGAGATTGATTTGTCGCGTGTTAAGAGGGAGTGGTTTATTCTCTCCCTCTGGCGTGTGACAAGCGTTATGTTGGTCAGACGGGTCGCTGTCTGAATGACAGGTTAAGAGATCACGCCTACAGTGTCTCCACTACCGTGTCTGGTCATCTTGGCATTCATTGCCGCAACTGTGGCTGCCTGCCCGACTTCCAACGGTGTGAGGTTGTTAAAGGGATACTTGAACGAGATTTGAAATATTCCCGTCGTGTTCAAAAATAGGTTGAATATGATCCACAATATCCGTAAATGACAATCGCACGTTCGTATTTTGAGCCTGGTGGCTGTATTTTTCGTTATAAACGGCCCACTCTGGCAAGCGCTCGGAGAAGGCCCAGCGGAGACCACGTGACATCCGACGCAATCGTGACGTAGGTCGTCTCAAGACGAGCAAAGCTACGGCGAGGCTGACGTCGGGAGGATGGCCTAGTCGTTCCAGCCACCGAAGTGGCTGCTTTTGTACGAATTTTGAGTGACGGATTAATCTTCTATAGTCTTGTAGGGGGACAATAGCGACTTCTGCGACACACAAAAGGCATTCTCGGGAAGAGGGGAGTTCCTCCTGCCCCTCTTCTCTCGTCGTGGCCGGAGACGAGACAACCTCCGTCACTAGCTGTCAAGGTTCCTAGACGGGCATTACAAGCGAGGCGTTAGCGACGTCCACCAGGTGCTCTTTGCTAATCATTTAATTAGTTTTAAAATTCCTTTTCGTGACTTTTTTAACAAGATATTAATATATTCGATCTGATGCTGCTTTTTTGAACACATATAGACCAAAAAATGAGCGCCGAAATTTTGTTGTAGTATCCCTTTAAGCGTAACAGGTACTAGTTGACACGCAAAATTCTTGAGGCTGTTGAGATAGCGAGGTTGGGCACTACATCTGTCAGCAGTCCTTCAGTGGCCCTGTCTGGCAAAGAAATTAATTTTCTAGTTCCTTGACTCGCTTGTTTTTTTACCACACGCTCTGTATGGCTCTGTAGAGGAGCCTTCTCTTTTTTTCTTTTTTTTTATTGGTGATGTGAGCTGATTACCTCCTTCAACTTTTTTCTTCCCTTTGTTCGTGACAATGCATGTAAACCGTAGAATATTGTGCATCCGCCCATTCCACACTAAGCGCCCACCTCCAAAATTTGAAACACCTGAAAAGATATGTACAGTACATATATATATATGTAAAATTGATGACCTCACAGGTGCCTATCCCCTATTTTTTGCGATTTTCTTCGAATTTTGAGTGAGCGCTTACTCAGTATTTTACGGTATACTGCGATCGATAAACTCAGTTGTAAGTCAACGCTGCATCCGTGTCACTTCTTTGTCTGGTCCCTCGTCTTTTGCGCTGTTTAAATTTCCCCCCAAAATTGCTTTTTTCTAGTTATTTTTTTTCCTTTTATATCTTTGCTTAGAGGCACCATAAAAAAAAAATTATAATAGGGCTAACTGGACGCGCTCTCATAAAGAAACTTTGTGCTCCTTTTTTATCTTTTGATCCAGAAAAGGCAATGTTCTCAAACTTCAGCATCGGTTTGTTGTTGCGATTGGCGCGGAAGCCAGCGTTAGTACCACATTCACACCTTTCTGCGATGCCTACTTTGTCTATGAAAATTAAGTGAAAGGTCTCATCCGCTGGGACGTTTCACCGTGAGTGCTCATAGCCCTGCGACAGCAACGACTGTCCTACAGGGTGTAGGCCCGTTTGTCATGTGCGCATTCGTCATAGGCCAACTGGTAATAGGCCCGTTCGTCACAGCGGAACATTCGTCATAGGGGAATTTGTCACTACGAAAGTTTGTCACTGTGCGAACCAGATATTCGCAAATTTGAACAACTTATATTCACTTGACTTTGCACGCAATAAAGATTAGTACGTTATATTTCATTTTTACTGAAGAGAGTGAACATCCAAACTAGTCATCATTGTACTTAGAAAACAACAGGTTCATTGAGCGAAATAAAAAGAAACGAAAAACCGATATTCCAAACTGCCGCCCTCAAGGTTTCAAGACGATAGCGACCATCGCAGCGGCTCGCAATGATCTGAAGATGCCGGTTGCAGTCGGCGTGCCTCGTTGACACCCTCGACGATGTTGTGCCGCCCTCTGCTTGAGTCAGCTTCATCTCTGTCAAGGACTGCTCTCTCTTGATGCAGCCCAGGAAAGCCCAGATATTGGGGAACTGCAGCCCACGCTGCTCTGGCATAAAAAGAAAAAAAAAGAACACACACACTCGTGGCGAAAGTTTTTTGAGGGGGCACCGCACTAACATTTTTGAGCCACAAATGTAAAAATGCGCTACAGAAAACTCCCAAGCTCTGAGAGGATTATGTTAGTTCTTACCTGCATTCCCCGGTGCCACGCTTTGATGCTGTTGTTCGTCCTAGGCATTTCTGCTAGTGTTGATTCTCTGACTGACCAAACCAGAGGAGGGAAGGTGGCCGACGACAAGCCGTTTCCATGGAATCTCCCGATATACACGTGCTCCAAGTAGTCCGCCACGAGTGAGGCATCGGTGGGGAAAACCTCGAGAAGGTCCTGGAAGGCCTCGGGAATGTCGGTGATTGTCAAGACGGCCAACGCTGGAAGCCTTCTCATCTGAAAATCCACAAGAAATAAAGTAGCCAATTGGCTTAACTGAAGAAAAGAAAAATAAGACATATAAATATAATGCCGCATACCAGAGCAGCAAACTCATCATCTGAATTGTAGCGACTCTGGTGACCACTGGAGCACACCTTCCTGTACACCAACTGGAATAAGTGAAAAAAAAAAAAAAAAAAAAAACATCCCTGTATTCTAGCGCCAGAAATCATGGCTTGTATCGCGTTGATGGCCGCCATCTTGAAGTTCGCGTAAGCCACCTCAAGGCGGTTGGCCGCCATGTGACTCATCACGATGTCGAAAAACCTTAAAAAGAGCGAAGATATTTTGAAGTGTTTGAACACATATCCAATGATAGGGCCACCGAGTGTTTCGTTTTATACGTTTATCAGAGCTCTTGAATGCCTACCTTTTAGGCAGCTTCAGATGTGTTGGGCAGCAAGCCGTAAACCATTGGCACACCACGCCATTGGCTGTGGCATCTTTTTACCAGCTGTACACGGAGCGTGTACAGTTGGTAAAACTGTGCCGAGGTGACTTTAAAGGGATACTGAACCGAAAATTCGAGTTCACAAAACAAGGCCGGGCGGATAGGCGGGAAGCTGCAAAACCAAGAAATATAATTCATACGGCGATATATCTAACGGATCGCCGCATTTTTTGGAAAAGAAGTGCGGCGATTGAACCCGGCCGACGAGGCCGACGCGACAAGGCACGTCACGATTCCCATTCTCTCTCCTCCTCGCTACATCCCGTCAAGCTGGAGAACCGAAGCGAGGAGGAGAGAAGCGAGGCCGCTTCTCCTCATTCTCACATTCTCCCGGAGGACAGTTACGTCAAAGAACTCGCTTGATCGCGCCCTTCTTTTCCAAAAGTACGGCCATCCGTTTGAGATATCGATGTACGAGTGATGTTTTGGAGTTCATAGCGTCCCGTTCAACACTTCTGCAGCCTTACTTTGCGAAATCCAAATTTCGGTTCAGTATCCCTTTAAAGGTCCCGTCCGCGAAGCACGTAGTCGCCTGAGCCAGACAGCTCAAGTTGCCCTCGGTAGCAAAGATCAGGATTCTTTCGCTGTCACAGACCACAGCCAAAGGAATCTCCTTTGACTGTGGTCTGTATGCAGGTAAACCAGACATTATTATCATAATATGTCGCTCACCGTGATTTTGCGCTACCATACCCTTTACCTTAAACTCTGCGGGCATTCGTATGTCGGCTTCGCAAGATGGTACGCTGAACTCGAAATTCGCCGCTGCCTTTGCTTGCGGATTGTGCGCCGTAGTGTTGACGGTGCGGGAATCTGCGAAGCAATGACGTCACTGACACAGGCAGCCGCATCCAGAAATATTTGGCACGGTGCTAGAAGCCGTTTTACGGGAATAAAGACATTAGTGAAGTTGTTTTGGGAATATAAGAGCAGGAACAGATTTTCATACATACCAGCCTTTTCCTTCATCTCATGACGAACCCGAAGCACGTTTTTCTCAGTGGGGTAAAATGGATGCGTATGGTCACTGGAATAAGAGATTTCACGAGTCTTGGCGTGATCGGTGACTATCTTAGTTTTACAAACTCCTCTTCGCCTGCAAGCAAAATACAACGTAGTTTCGTGAACCTTAATGCAAGTGTAGGAATGTCCTTCGTGAAGAAGCATATCGCCACCTCTCTTAGTTGTAACTACCTCCATTTAGAAATCGAGAGAGAGATGGGAAGCAAAAAAGATTCGTCTTTGATAAGCCAGGAGAAACCGGCATGTGAGCCCTAAAACGGGGCACAAAGAAAAACAAAACAAGAATCGGGTTCAGTGGGGTTTTTCCTATTTTGAACTTTATGTTCTCGAAGTTATTTTGTTAGTAAGGTTAGCCAGATAAGACAACATGCAGGCTAAAGGCTGCACGTCACCTTATCTTAGGGTCATGCTTTTGTTCCCGTTCGTACAGTGGTCAACCTCACTTACCTTGTACGGATGTGGTTGGGTGACCCCCTTTCGTAACATTCCTAACAAAATAGAAATAAAACATTAACAATTTCGGGCTCATTGTGTGACGAACTGCCAGCGTGACAAATCATCCTACGACGAATGTTCCGATGTGACGAACGGGCCTGTTACGAGTTGCCCTATGACGAATCGACATGTGACGAATGGGCCGTATCCCTGTCCTACATGCACTGACCTGTAGAACCTGAAAAACCTTGCACCGCCAACTGTATTGTGATCGCGACGCTTCGCACATGCACCCATCGACGAGACAAAGTCCTCGCACAGCGAGGAGGAAGGACGCTTGTCCAGCTTGAACTCAGTTCTTTTTAACACTCCATCAAGAAACATCGCATGTTCTCCTCACAAAGAGCCATTCCGAACGCTCAATTTAAGCCCGATAGCCGTGAAACAAAGAAATGACATCTAGTCCTTTCTCTTGGTCCAAATGCTCGTTCTCTTTTAAATAATAGAGACAAAACCTAACCCAAAGTTGAATATATATTTCTGGTTCTAGCAAATGGTAGAATGGTTTACTCACCTCCCAACATTATAACCTTAGCGTCATAGTATCCTCCATCGCCGCCATCAGGGCCCTGCCAGAAGGCAAGTTTCGACTTCTTGGGGTCGAAATCCTCTAAATGCTTTGGCTCGAACCTCTGAATTAATGAGATGGGAAGTATAGACGTCTGCTTGTCCGCGTATCTAATATAAGCGTGCATTCTTCCTCGTTCACACAACTTGCAGGTGCTCCCACGTGGACTCACGAAGCTACGGAACAATCATAAACAATCCCACGAGTGACCAGCCCGGCTTGTACTTGGATTTGGATTCGTCGGCTATTCTGGCTATTCACTAGTTTCGTTTTGGAGCGTACAAAACTTTACAATGCCTTTCTCAAAATATAGGTAGGAAAACTGTGCACGTTGGGGGGGGGAAGGGGGGGGGGGTCGAAGAACTCAATCTTGCAGAGCCTAATAATAAAGCATTGAGCTATCTGTAACAATAATCTCGCTAACTACATCACACTCACTCATTTTCTTTGCAAAAGTGCGCAAACACCTCTTTTTCTTTTTTTTAATAATGAGGTAATGATGGTCACTTGCAGATAAAGTTTACATCGATTAGAAGTGCAACGTATGTTGCACGTGAACACATAAAGAAAGTTTCACATGCAGCGATTTTGGCCCTAGAGCGGTGCGATTTCTGCCGTCGCAGCGCTCGTGCCGCTCAACCGCTGGTGCTGGCCAGAACGCCGCGACGGCACAAATCGCGCCGCTCTAGGGCCAAAAACGCTGCATGTGAAACACGCTTCACAGCAGGAAAACGCGTACACGCAGGAGGCCTTGTGGGTTACCAAGCCCCACCGCGACATTCGTGCGTCGTATACATGCCAACATTGGCATCCAAAGCCTGGTGCATTTGTAACGTACAGTGCACCACAGTATATGCACGTGCAGGGGCGAGCAGTTAACAGGAACATTAGAACAGTGACCCTCCTCCCCCCCCCCCCCTCGAACACTCCCTAAATTTTAGAAAATTAATAATTAATAAATTCACAAAAAAAAAAGATCACCAGTTGAAAGACACTCAACCAGATATACGATAACTGCATGTTAGCGTCTAACATTGAATGCTGTAACCATTGATCTCCTGTGTAACACCCAAAATGGGAGAACTAGAAGCTAAGTATTACAGCATTATTCCTAACTAATTACCGCTCTATTAGACATTACTATTGGCGTCCAACAGAATATCGTGTAACGCCTCAAAATCGGGAGAACAAGGAGTCGAGCATTTCAGTATTAGGCCTAACTCTCGAACTATCCCTAACATCAGCCAAAATGTGGAGCCAGTGCTCGATTGGCTATCGCGTGCATGTTGATTGAGTCCAACGCGAACACTCGCCGCCCTTGTCAGTCGCCGGATCTTTAACGCAGGCAAAAAAAAAAAAAAAAAAAAAAACGCCGACCAGGTATTTTAAGTGTTCACGATGTTTAACTGTCTTTGGAGCGTCAACGTATCGCGCTGACATTTACTACAGGGGTGCCCCAAGTTGGTGGATTAATCATTTGAAAGTATGAAACATAAAACACCCAAAGTAAAAAAAAAAAAAATGCAAACGTTTTTGATTATGGACAAATTTCTCCTAAGCCTTCTTTTTTTCCTCGACATCATCAAGAATATTCTTGGCCACTCTGTCATTTATTACGACTGAAATACGGGTGGAATGGAAAGGAAATAAACTGGCTACCATAATACTGACCTAATTTGGCCGAAACGAGCGCCACAGAGACCAAAAATAATATTTAGGCTTACATGCAAAGCACATAAGGATGTTTCATTTTCCTTGTTTTACTCAGGTGAACTAAACTTTCCATAACTTTTTCTTAAAAGCTTCCACCATCATAAACACTTGTGTGCTGAACCCCGCTGGAATCTATTCGTTTCGCCGATTCGTTTTATGCTGTGCATTCAGAGGGCCAACGAAATGTCGTAACTCCCTGGGCCGGCTTGCTCGAAGCAGCGTCAGCAGCGTCTCAGCTGAGACTGGTGAAAGAAAGCATTGCCAAGGCTAACGTTTGAGTCTGAATTTGAAGCGCGTCTCAGCTTGCGCGATTGCCTTGGCAGTGCTTTCTTTCTTGCAGTCTGAGCTGAGGCGCTGCTTTGAGCAAGCCGGCCATGGTGTCCCGATACGTATGTTTTCTTCTTGTTTTTGGTCATTGGAGAAATTCTTCACGGTACTTAGACAAAGTCGCCGTTAGGACTGTGCACGTGAGTGCGGAGTCCGGACTTCAGAGAGTGTTGAGCAGAACTAGCGTAACAGGCGTCAACTACGGCCGCCAATTGTGTTCCACTTAGAAACTACACTCTAAGAAAAAATGGAGGAAAAAAGTAGCAACGGCGCGTCTTCCTCCCTTCTACCGACGCGCCCCCAAGCGGACACAAGAAAAGGGGAGGAACGAAACGTTTTTCTCCTTCTCCAGGCAGACGGGTGAAAGCTTTCGCCCTCCCGACTCATCGTCTTTCGGTTTCGTTTTTCGAGCAGGTCGCGCATGTTGTTTAATAAATTAATGTTGAGTTGATTGAGCTTCAGCAGCAGCGAAGGCCGCCTGTAATTCCGTCTTTTAGTTTAAATGTCCAGAACATTTCGGTTGCATTCACGTTTTTATCACTAATTGTATCAAACCAGCAAACGAAGCCGCTAGAAACAGCGAAGTTCCGGAGCAGTGCCAGCAGCGCCACGAACACTGGGGGATGGCCGTCTCCGGATTGCGTGACTCGCGCGGCACGGAACTACAGCTGCTACAGCCACTACAGCACTACAGTCACTACAGGCACTACAGTAGCGAAACCACGCGGTACTGTATCGACGTTTTCGACGTTATGGAAACCGCAGGAACTGCGTCCAAGACAGGCAGGTTTTGCTGCCGGCTGCCTGGGTGCCTTCCCCCCTGAGTTCGGTTCTGTTTTCCGATGCCGAGTGCAACCGGCGTTCAACGTGGTTCTGTGTTTGTGCGTGTCAGCAACATAGCTGCAACATCGTGATGGCAGTGCTGTGGGTTGTGAACAGAAGACTGGAATTATCGCCGATGTGACCATGTGTTCGCGTATCAGTGGTGTAACAAGAAGATGAGATCGTAAACTGTTGGGCATTGATGCCGCTGGTCGGGTTGTTATCGGAAGGGGCGGGTGTCGCAGGTTGACATTCCGCTTTACATTAAAAAGTTTAATACCACTTGAGGGATTACGTGCAATCGATCGACGTGCGGATACTCATGTTGGAACGCTGGTAGAAGCTCCTATCGTACAGTGGCCAATGTGACTGTCGAAATTGTCTCGTCCCCGAGAGCGATTGCGCTCAGGGGCAAGGACTGAACAGTACGGAATCGTGACGTAAAGTACGTATATTTACAGTATGGAATTTCGGCATTAAAAAACAATAGTAGGTAAAATAGAAAAAAAACAAAAAAACTACCCTTTATTTTGCTGTTTAAATATACTACGGTTGCTGGAGAAACTGCCCTCCGTGGCGCGCTGGGATGAGCGCTAGAAGTTTTCGGGCTCGCCACGGCGTAGCTCCGTACACTTAACACCTGCCGCAAATCGCGGCTTTGACTGCATTCAAGTTGATCGAAAAGCGATTTCTCAGTCCGTGAAGCATCACTTCCAGCTGACTGAATATCCGCTCTACAGAGATTAATTCAAGACGGCAATTGCAGCTTTGCGCGAACAGCACAAATAGAAAAACAAATAGAAATACAGGCTACGACGTGCCGTGTGGGGAAACAAACTCATGGCTTCGAACCGCATTGGAGCAACTATATATAGAGCATTTCACCCTACGTTCCGATTTCTTGAGCATGGAGTGATTTGTAAGAAAATTAAATATGAACTCATATATAAAATTTTGTTTTCAAACATAAAAATTGTATGCAAGAGAGGCACTTAATTATCAGCTATTTGCATGAATTACAACTGACAATATAAGCAACTAGACTGCTAACAACTGTTGCTTTTGAAGCAGAAATCTTACCTGTACATTATGTACAGGGCCATATATAAGCTTTCCAAAACCATCTCACATTATTTATTTAGCACCCTCTTCTACACCCTTCTCACATTCTTCACTAAATGTAGGGTGTAACAAGAAACAGCACATTTTTCGGTAAAAGTATGAGGTTGTATTCCTAGTTTTACGGTGTTAAAAAGGTTGTTTGCCTTTTTTTAAAAAAGGCAAACAACAAAACCAGCGTTCTGCACATCTAGGTCGAGATGTTCATTTTCTTTTTCTTTTACGTGTGGCTCGATTTTGAACGTTTCCGTTGCGGTTTTAACCGAAGCTGTTAGCTTTCCTTGGCTCAGGAAATCAGTATCCTAGCACCTAATTAAAACATTACTGAGACTAGCTTAAGTATAATCAATATATGAGAGACGTCTTGTTTAGGCTCTTCCAAAACACAGAGTCTAAAATATCCAATCTTATCCGATTCAAGCACAAGCTGATCGGGGTGCATGGCTAGCGTGGCGGTTTACTAAGCTGAGTGCATTGATACACCTATAGGTTTTTAAGGTAGTGAAGGGGGCTTACGGTCGGTATACAGGTACACTGGCTGGGTAACGGTGGGTGCGTCTTCCAGGAAAGGGGAGCATCTGCGCCCGATGCACCCGACTACAACTTTTTTTTCTTCGAGTGCAGTTGGGAAGTAAATATGTGGAGCAGTAACCGAAAAATCGCGGATGTGGCATTCGCGCTAAGAGTGCCGCGCGGCGACAGAGCGGTATAGTTAACGCGAAGATGACGTCGGCGCTGCTTTCGTATTTTATTTTCATAGAACAACGGCGGGCACAATATTTTCCCACTTCTAGTATAATGTTCCAAATGAACATATCACACGACAGTGCTAGTTAAGACAATAGCCTTTCAAGTCTAACGAAAAAAAAAACTGAATAAAACGGTGATCGTTTGCTTGCGCTAACAGTGTTCGCGCGATGCACGCACTAATATTCTGCCAACCACTCGCTCGTGTTGCTTCTCTCGCTGCCCGTCGTTATGCCAAAGTTTCGTCAACGCGATGAAAGTTTAGATTATGGGTGTCCCTGCGGCGAAACTGAAAATCAGCACTTTTGGCAGAACACTTGTCGGCCATGTTTATGTCCACGGCGGCCAAGCTGAGAATCAGCACTTCTGGCCAAACACTCGCCGGCCGTGTTTATGTTT